GTCTTGACGTTTCAGCTTGTGTGTCTTGTTCAGTGGTGGTCGTCTTTCAGCCTTTCTTATCTTGGCCATGTCTCTGAGTATTGCACACCTTGTGCTTTTGGGCACTCCAGTGATGTTGCAGCTCTGAAATATGGCCAAAATGGTGGCAAGTGGCATCTTGGCAGCTGCACGCTTGACTTTTCTCAGTTCATGGGCAGTTATTTTGCACCTTGGTTTTGTTGGGTAATTTCTATATCACTCCCAAATTACCTCAAAAAAGTCAGAGCATACACAAAGGGGTTAGATCTTTGTGGAAATTGTAATAATCAAACAACAATCAATAAACGAACTTTGCAAAGGGTGAAAAACATACACACCAGAGTTAGAGGCGGTTTGTTCTCACACAGAAGCAAAGCTGCGGAGCGCTTTTATTAGGACCAAGTCAGAGATAACCACACCTACACCTCACAGAAGACAACAGGAATTCTTCAAAGAGGTCTTCACAGCAGGATGCTACAGACACAGACCAAGGAGTCTTCCAGTCTAGCCTTGGTTTGGCTGCTTAGGGAACAATTTGCATTCAGGCCGGAAGGCCTTCTAAATGTAAATTGCATTCAGGCAGGAAAGCATTTCTACAACTGTTTAAAATGTAAATCATGGTGACAAACTCAGTTTGACTATCAATTTTTACCCAAAATTCCCTCCTGTTCAAACGGTGTTTTATCTTAAATAATCATCAAATGTTAGTTTGGAGAGTTTAATAAATCTATTAATCCTTCCTGTGGAAACATAGCTCATTTACTACACGTAGTAAAATAAAACAATAACAACAAACCAAGATTAATGTATGCAGTATTAAAATCAACATCCACCACACCAAAAAGATCACAAAATATTTAGTGATCTTAAAAAAACTAAACAAGAACAATTGTAAAATAAGTAACAACTTGTTTTAAAATGAATTTAAACTAGATGATCAATAACAACTTAATTCTAAAATCATTATAACAACGATTGTACTGATTGAGCAAAATTAATCAATCAATCAATCAATCAAAGCTTTATTTATAAAATTAAAATTAAAGAGTAATCTAATAAATCTAAAGGATAATAATAAACTGAGTTGATAACAAGAATATCAAACAACAACGGTTACAGAAACTGCAATTTATATTGTTGTAATCATACGGAAACCAACTTTATTAGGCAATGTATTCCTCTTCTGTCAGCTCCTCTCTTTGCTTCAGGAGTGTGTATTGGACCAAGGTATTTGTCATCAGCTTGCTTACCATAGACTTCAAACACGGAAGCACACAGCCTAAAATTAAGCAAATCATGACCAGGATAACAATAGCAGGTGTAAGAAACTTTAACAAGAGCTGATACCAGTTACCAGATACCAGCCAACTCATAAAACTCCAGGATCCCTCAGTTGATTCTTTGGATTTCAGGAAGTTTCCGATTTGTCTGACACGGTCGTGAATCAGAGTCCAGTTGTCATGTGATGACGGAAGAAAGGCATAGCAGTGTTTGCCATTTTTTTCACAGAGGCCGCCTTCTGTGGCAAACATAATGTCTAGGGCAAGTTGGTGCTGCATCAACATCGTTCTCATTGCTTGTTGCTCTGGGTTGTCAGCCAGGAATGAGGTCATTTCAGAGAGTACAGTGGTGATGTTTTCTAGGGTCCACCATACTTCATTCATCTGTTTCATCAGGCTGGCAGTTCCTAGCTGGGGAAAGAGTGTGTAGCGAATTCCTTTGGAGTCATCATAGAGAGGCCTGTGGCCGTCGTTGCTGGAGAAAGGGCGGGAAGACTTTAACAGGTTTAAATTCCCTCATTTCTGTCCAGCTCTGGTGTCCTCGTAAGGATGGCCCCTTCCTCTGTGATGACATATGAGGAGGGTTACAGTTGAGCCAAGCTGCAGGTGCCACACCAGTCGCGTGGCAGGTACAGATAGAGAGAGCTTCCGCACTTCCAGATGTATCCTTCAGGGGTCCCCATTCCCATGATTGAGGGGACTTCTAGAAAATGTTCATGTGACTCCCATGGTGTGTAGTAGGGTCTTCCAGTCATTACAAGGCTTAACAAGGTCGCATTTATGGTAATGTAACCAGGGGCACTAACCCGGAGTGTTAACCAATGTTTCTTTGTGCGAGATGTGCGAGATCTCACAGTCCATCCGTCTCCTGAGAGAGTGTCATCACAGGTGGATCTGCCCAACCGGGTCATGGAGTTTGAGCAGGAGACGGAGATGCAGAATGGGTCTTTACCTGTGAGACGGAGGAGATGCAATCCTTTGGAGATGGAGAAGTTGGTTGATGCAGAGTAGTTGGTGGGGCGTGTCCAGTGTCTATATTCATGCTGAGGTGAAGAGCAGTGAGGAATGGTGCACTCCCGTATCTCAAAGGCTTGGCGGGTGTGGGCGTGCAGTAGACATATGGTGTCATTCAGTGAGGCGGGGATAGCTGTCATCGTGGGATTTTCCATTGAATGATGGGGGATCCAGGAGCTGATATAGCAACTGTTATTAAAGCCTAGTCTTTTGGCGGTTAGATTTACCATGTGGTACCAGGTGTTTTGGTGTGTGTTGTGGATATTTATAGGAGCAGGCTTTACTTGTGTGGTGTGTGTAGTTCTCAGGGTCCAGTGGACCATAGCAAACAATAGAAAGGAGGTGGAGAACTTCGTGGTCGTGGATGGTGGTGCAAACAACTGGATTAATAGCCTCCTCCTAACGAGAAGTTTGACCGCTGGGAGTTAGGGATCTTGTACCTATGTACTCTTCACCTCGCATTGAGACAGTAAGGTTCTAAACACCAAAGTGCCTTTGTAGCTGGACTTCCCCCTAGCCCATGTCTATTAATCCAGATGTTTGAGCAGCTTGCAATAAGAGAGATGAATCCGGGTGTTTTGCTCAGCGATTTTCACAGCAGTAAGAGTAGCCAGCAGTACTTGGAAGGGTCCTTCCCACTTGGGACTGGTCCAGTTTTTCCTTTTGATGACCTTGATGAAGACCCAGTCCCCAGGTGTAACTGCAGGAGTCTTGTCCTGCAAGACAGTAGAAGAAATAGTCCAGGTATTTGCAGTTTGAGATTCTTTGGACAAAATAACCATTTTCATATAGTCAGCTAAGGTTAGTTCATCTTCAGTTATTTGTAAGTGTTTGTTAACCAAAGGCAGTTTATAGGGTCTGCCATAAATGATCTCAAAAGGTGTTAGTCCTAGATTAGTAGATGTTATTCTCATGTAAAGCTTTACTAAATCTAAACATTCTGGCCACGGCTTTTCAGTTTCCTCCATGCATTTTCTGAGTCTGTTCTTTATGGTAGCGTTATTACGCTCAACAAGGCCAGCACTGGCAGGATGGTATGCACAGTGATTCTTTAATTTGATTCCCAAATGAGCAGTCATGTTCTGAATGACCTCATTCACAAAGTGAGGTCCATTGTCGGAGTAGATTACTTCTGGAATGCCGTGATTAGCAATTATGGTTTTGCATAAGGCTTTGGCTACTGTTAGAGCATCATTTTTTGCTGTCGGTATAATCTCAACCCATTTGGAAAAAGCATCAACGATGACCAAACAATATTTGTAGGGACCACTTTGTGTTAACTCAATAAAATCCATATGCAACATTTGGAACGGGTATTTTGGCTGGGGAAATTGCCCTCTCTTTGGTCTCACATTTCCCTGAGCATTGTGTTTTGTGCAAATCACACATGACCTGCAGAAGTGTCTGAGATAGGATTCAAGGTTGTAAGTTGTAAAATGCTGCTTCATTAAATGGCCCATCCCCCCTGTTGATACATGACAAGGGCCATGTGCCACCAGAGCAGCAGCCTTAAACAGAGACTTTGGCAGAACAGGTTTACCATGTGTAACATAGAGCCCATCTGGAGACAATGTTGCACCTTTAACCTTCCAAAGTTGTTTTTCAGCAGCTGGGGCGTGCATCTGCATGTCAGTCAAAACCGTGTGACCAATAAGGGAATCAGTTGTCTGAACAGTGAATCAGTCGGAAGAACCAAAAGTGCCCTGGGACGCGGACTTTGCTACCTCATCAGCAAATCTGTTCCCAAAGGAAATCGAATCTGTTCTTAATGTGTGGGCTTGGCATTTACATATTGCAAGAGTAGAAGGCAACAGGACAGCTCTAAGGAGTCTGAGAAGGAGTTGAGAATGTGTAATATCACCATGTTTTTGCAGCAAAACAGATGTCATAAACCCATTTTTACAATCAACAGTCAGGTAAAACCAGAGTTGTGCTGGAATGGATATCTTGTTTCAGGTTTACAAAAGCTGCTTCTGTTAAGGGAGTCCAGGAAAGCTTATCATTCATTTCTATCTGTTGGCCATGAATCATTTCAGAAAGGGGCTGAGTTTTTTCTACATAATGGGGAATGTACTGTCTGCAGTAATTAGCAAGACCTAAAAACTGCATCATTTGCTTTTTAGTCTGGGGTTTTGGGGTGTTCAAAATGGTTTCCTGTCTTCCTGACTGGATTTGCCTACCTTCACCCGTCAAAGTGTGTCCAAGATACTGGACGGTGGTTCTGACCCATTGCGGTTTCTTTTTACTAACTTTGTTTCCAGTTCTGTGGAGATGCTGCAGCAAAGCGAGAGAGTCTTTGAGGCAAGACTCAGCATCATCTGAAGCAACCAAAATGTCATCCACATAAACAAGGACTTGTGAATTTGCTGAACCTTGAAAGTCCGCTAGACAATTAGTAATTGCTTGAGTAAAAATAGTGGGACTGTCCGAGAACCCTTGTGGTAGACGAGTGAAAGTAAACTTCGAGTTTTTGTAGGTGAAAGCAAACCAAAACTGTGTGTCAGGGTGAACAGGAACATTGAAAAACGCATTGCTCAGATCAGTCACAGAAAAGTACTTCCTGGGAGACTTAAGAGAGTTTAACAACGTGTGCGGGTCTGGCACGTGGTGCACGAGTTTGAACTGCAGTGTTAACCATTCTTAGATCTTGAATCATTCGCCAAGTTCTTCCATCTGCTTTTTTTATAGGCCAGATGGGTGTGTTACATGGAGAATCAGGACAAGGTCTGATAACTCCAACTTCCGGGAGATCTGAAATCACCGGAGCAATGCCTTTTTCTGCTTCAGGTAACAAAAGCCCTTGTCAGATAGACATTCTGGAACATTTGTGGACAATTCAATCTGGTTTTTAACTGGAACTGTGTTTTCAGACACACCACTTTTGTACCGGAACTTGTCCTTTCGGCTGCGTTCACACAGCAGGGAAAAGTTCCAGATGTTTGACGGCGGTGGGGGTGGGGGTGGGGGGTGGGGGGGTGGATCGGACCCATGCTAAGAAGAAGAAGAAGAAGAAAATATAATTTCTATAGCGCCTCTCAAGATAAAAATCACGAGGCGCTTAAGCATAATTCTGCGCACACGAAGACGCATAAGACACCTGGATGATGAAGCTCAATGGTTAAAGGAATCACTGAAGCGGTGTGAAGCGCTCCGTCGCGCGTCTAGGCGGTACCGTAGGAGGCGTGCTGCCGTGGTTCGCCGCATGCTACAGGAGCGCGCTATCTAGGTGCGCACAGTGTCCCCCGGTCCCCTCCTCCTCCCCCTCCCCCTTGTTCAGAACTCTACCTCACCAGTCTGAAGCAGCCACCCTGTCCGTAACAAGTCTGGACCTGTTACTAGGGGCTTCATCCGGTTAAATTCCGGAACACGTTATCCGGATGTTTGCATTCGGACACAAAGGTCTTACGGACAGAGTCCGGAACATTTCCGTTTTTCATGGCCTTTCTGAAGGGGGCTAAAGAATACTGTTTAACTCTTGGTCTGAAGTCGGATTTTGGTTTGATCTCCACAGGAGAGATAGAGTTCAAAAGGCCCACATCAGTCTGGCCTACAGACCAGAATGTTTCAGGGATTTGCTTAAGTTGCTCCTCCTCCTCATCCGATAACAACACAGAGTCAGTCTGTCACTTCAAAGGGTTAACAGCAGTTTCACACTGAAGTGGGACAATCAGAGGAAACCGGTAGAGACCAGTGCTTTCACTGTACTGCCATAAATCCTTTTTATCAGGTTGAACCGGGGTGAAATCTGTGGCCTTAGGTGCTATGTTAATCATGTAACCTAAATCTTTCCAGCGTGAGGAGCTGCCTTTTGTCAAAGAAATGTGTGGAGGAGTAGGCAAATCATGGAATGCTTTCATGTTGGTAGGGAGTAACACAGATGCCGCAGAGTCTGACTCTCCGTTTGTTATCAGATAGGAGGTAGCCAACACAACAGGGGACAAAGGTAGGAAAATTCTTTGATATGGTAAATCTTGCTCTGGCCTGAGGGCCATAGTTACATGCAGCTGTGATAAGGCCATTTCATCTCTAGCTGTGTTGTTAAGCACCGGACGCAATGTTTTCATAATAAGCTCTGTTTCAACTAGATTTGTTTAAACAGAGACTTGCAAAGAATAATATACGCCAGTAGGGTCGTGGAGGTAACAGCAATCCTCAGCCGCTCGAATAGCTCTCATGCCATCTTTTATGGGGACAATAGAGATTTTTAGCACTGACATGAGGTCTCTGCCCAATAGATTTAGCGGACAGTCTGGTGCTATGACAAGGGAGATTCTTTTTCCCAATCCTGTCACTGGATCATCCACCGAAACAGGTTTAGACAGAGACGAGTGAGTGGTTTGTCCATCAGCAGTTTTGACCAATATGCTATTCTGAGAGCTGGGTAATTTTACACCAGACAATATAACAGATCGACATGCACCAGAATCACAAAGGAACTCAACACTTTGTCCTTCAATGTTAATTGTGATAAATGGCTTTTCTTTCAAGACATTAAGCAATTCCCAAGCTCCACAGCAGTCAACAACGTCATTTTCCTCTGTCCAGGCCTCAGAATCTGCCTCTAGTCATTGCTGATAGTCATCTCCTCGCTCCCGTCTGAATCGGGTGTGATCTGGTTGGGGATTGACAGGCTCACGACTAGGTCGGCTCCCCTGTGATTGGAAACCTCTGCCTCTTCTGGGACCCTTATTGGGCTTTCTGTTATCTGGGCCATCTGACTGGGAAGGACAGTCACGTGACATGTGACCTCGACCTCCACAAGTCCAAAAAATGAGTGGCTGTGAGCGGTCTGGTGAAGACCACTGTCCCTGGTTGCTGCTACGACCACCTCCCTGGCGATTAAATTTACCCCCGTCGCTACTTTGCTGATAATAAACAGCTCCTTCCTCAGTGTTATCAGTTTCTTCTAAGAAGATTTGTGGGCCTGTCTTAGGAGTTTTTGGTTTATTTTTTTTCTGAATAACTTGCTCCACCTGTCTGGCATTTATCATCAGGTCTTCAATTGTACAGGTTTTCCAATAAATGAAATGTTCTTTAATCCTTGCAGTAATCTCAGGCCAGAACCCTTTCAGCAGCTCAGAGCACAAATATCTCACATAAGCCCCATCCACATTATCATCAGGTGAAATGGCACTGTGAATGTTGAACTGGGTCTGATATCTAGAACGGAAATCATCAACCGACTCATCAGGTTTTTGTCTGATTGCAGACAACTGAGTTAATTTCTGAACTTTCTTAAAGTTCTGTTTTACAATTGTGGCTAAAATGTCAAACTTGATCCTTAAATCTCCAATTAGGGCCCCTGTTGCTTGATCTTTCTCCTACACGTCTTTCCCTTTCTTTTTCTCTTTGCTTATTTGGATATCTCTCAGTCTTTTATCTGTTTCATCACGCCAAATTGTTGCAATCTTTAATTGTTCTTCCTTAGCCATCCTCCTCTTGCCAGTGGCTGCTGCAACTTTAATGTTGCATATATCAATTAAATTATGCCACTGGTGACCTTTTAATGTTCCATCAACTTTGTATTTTTTCTGCCATTTATCCATAAATTTCAAACTATCTGGGTGTTTACGGGACATATATTTTAAATCTCCCTCCAGTTTGGTTCTAGACTTAGAATTTCCCATTGCACCTAAGTTATTTTGTACTGATTTTGTAAAGCAGGCTGGATGAGCGCTGGTAACTTCTAATATGAATAGTATCAAAAATACAATCAATCAGACTGCTTATGCTTATATTAAAATGGTTCAAATTTGGCAAGTACTCCTCCGTTCTTCCTCACACACTCAGAGCTTGTGGCTCACATGCACACAGCCACAACGAGATGGCAGCCAATTCACCTCTACCAACACACACACTCGAACGCAACAAGATGGCAGCGGAACCAACACACACACACACACACTCAAACACAGAACAAAACCTGCAGGTTTTATCACACATACAGACACAATGAAACGGCAGCCGAAGAAACGTTCCCAGCCGAGTTTTTTAACGCTTCGGCACAATTTTTAAAACCATAACACAACACATATACTCACAAAACGACAACTGACACCAATATTTCTGCAACGAATCACAGAACCACAAAGATCTGCACAACCAGAAGTAGCCAGCCTGACTAAGCAGAAATGGGACGCAGCCCGCTGTACCAGAAACACAACCAATCACAAATAACACACAGCAAAGGTCAATTTAGACCGACTTGGGATTCTTTGGTCAAATGTAGCGGTAATTAATTTTGTGTACCTCCGTAGCACCAAGAAATATTTAAACAATCCCAGCGACAGTGTGTTTTTAGCAACTTTCCTCTCCACTCGACACCAGCACATGGGCTCTGTATATAACAACAGTTTTAGGTGCCCCTGCACATTCACCTGTAATTACTACCCACAGCACTGCAGGACGCCTGTGTGCGTTGACACAGACTAATTACAACCTCCTAAAACCAAGGCCAGGACTACAGCCAAGTTTCAGTGCAACCCTTACGGCTCACATGTGCAACCCCTAGCTGGACACGAAAACGTCTTTTCGTGTGTGAATGGCAGACACCACAATTCAGCTTAAAAACACACTCCCAGCAGTCAAAGGTGCTATTTAATTTAGGTAATCACTCTCTCCCTCTGCGTAGCAGACTCACCCTGAATCCGGGCGCGAGATCCTGTTGATGGAAGTCCGTCTGCGGAGCTAAACAGCCGGCCGATGGGGCAATTCTCAGCCCCCCGGGCTTTGATGGAATGTGGCGCCGTGCGGCTCCCTAAAGGCGATCTTCCCACTGCAGGCTCTGTGTCCCGGTTTCGGCACCAAAATTGTTGGGCAATTTCTATATCACTCCCAAATTACCTCAAAAAAGTCAGAGCATACACAGATGGATTAGATCTTTGTGGAAATTGTAAAATCAAACAACAATCAATAAACAAACTTTGCAAAGGGTGAAAACATACACACCAGTCAGAGGCGGTTTGTTCTCACACAGAAGCAAAGCTGCGGAGCGCTTTTATTAGGACCAAGTCAGGGATAACCACACCTACACCTCACAGAAGACAACAGGAATTCTTCAAAGAGGTCTTCACAGCAGGATGCTACAGACACAGACCAAGGTGTCTTCCAGTCTAGCCTTGGTTTGGCTGCTTAGGGAACAATTTGCATTCAGGCCGGAAGGCCTTCTAAATGTAAATTGCATTCAGGCAGGAAAGCATTTCTACAACAGTTTAAAATGTAAATCATGGTGACAAACTCTGTTTGACTATCAATTTTTACCCAACAGGTTTGTCCACACGCTTCTTGCGACCCTGTTGACTACTTTGAATGAAATGCTTGATTGTTCGATGATCACGCTTCAGAAGCTTTGCAATTTTAAGACTGCTGCATCCCTCTGCAAGATATCTCACTATTTTGACCTTTCTGAGCGTGTCAAGTCCTTCTTTTGACCCATTTTGCCAAAGGAAAGGAAGTTGCCTAATAATTATGCACACCTGATATAGGGTGTTGATGTCATTAGACCACACCCCTTCTCATTACAGAGATGCACATCACCTAATATGCTTAATTGGTAGTAGGCTTTTGAGCCTATACAGCTTGGAGTAAGACAACATGCATGAAGAGGATGATGTGGACAAAATACTCATTTGCCTAATAATTCTGCACTCCCTGTACAAGCAACCCTTCTGGCCCCAAACAGAGAGAACACAAGGAGTTCCCCTTTCGCCTGGACTTTCTCAACTACCCCAGCTTCAGAACAGCAGATAGCCTGGAGGCACAAATAGCTAACAAAAGACCCAGTCTTC